AGTTCTCGCCTGCATCGTCCATATAGGACGACTCGGGAACTCAACTCCTACCCCGGGCAGCTCACCGATCCCCTTATGCCCAGGGGAAAGGTATCAAGCCGTTTGACAGCAGATGCTGGCTGTCAAACCGGCTTTTACGCAAAACAGGCGGGAGGCAGCAAGCAGCTGCGACCAGCGAAATCGCCTGCCACCGGAAGTCTCCCTGCCACCGGAAGTCTGCAGTCTCTTCTTAAAAACTTCCAGTGTTGGAGCATTCACAGCTTCTGGTGGCAGGTTGTTCCACTGGCTAATTGTTTTAACTGTCAGGAAGTTTCTCCTTAGTTCCAGGTTGCTTCTCTCCTTGCTTAGTTTCCATCCGTTGCTTCTCGTCCTGCCTTCAGGCGCTTTGGAGAACAGCTTGACTCCCTCTTCTTTGGGGCAGCCCCTGAGATACTGGAACACTGCTATCCTGTCCCCCCTCGTCCTTCTCTTCATTAAACTAGACATCCCCAATTCCATCAACCTTTCCTTATATGCTTTAGCCTCCAGTCCCCTGATCATCTTTGTTGCTCTTCTCTGTACTCTTTCCAGAGTCTCAGCATCTATTTTGCAGCACGGTGACCAAACTAGATGCAGCATCCAGGCCACATTCACTCCTCTTCAACCTTACCTTCTGTGGAATCTTTAAGCTCTTCCTCTTTGTCTTCTGTTCCATCACTAGAAAAGAAAGGAGCACCATGAGAATGGCTGATCCTATTAACGCCTTCGGTGATGGGCAGGCAGGGATGAACATTCAAGAAAGAATAGTATGAACCGACAAAAGGTTGTAAGGAATCACGGTGGAAAAGGAAGCCTTGCTTCTCACACCATTTCCTCGCAAATTGCCCGGGTAAAATAATTAAAGTCCACCTTTCTTTCTTTCTTTCTTTCTTTCTTTCTTTCTTTCTTTCTTTCTTTCTTTCTTTCTTTCTTTTTCTTTCTTTCTTTTCCTTCCTTCCTTCCTTCCTTTCCTTTCTCTCTCTCTCTCTCTCTCTTTCTTTCCTTCTTTCCTTCCTTTCCTTTCTTTCTCTCTCTCTCTCTCTTTCTTTCTTTCCTTCCTTTCTTTCTCTCTCTCTCTTTCTTTCTCTTTCTTTCTTTCTTTCCTTCCTTCCTTCCTTCCTTCCCTTTCTCTCTCTGTCTCTCTCTTTCCTTCCTTCCTTTCTTTTCTCTCTCTCTTTCTCTTTCTTTCCTTTCCTTCCTTTCCTTTCTTTCTCTCTCTCTCTCTCTCTCTCTTTCTCTCTCTCTTTCCTTCCTTCCTTCCTTCCTTCCTTCCGTTCCCTTCCCTTTCCTTTCCTCTCTCTCTCTCTAACTCTCTCTCTCTCTCTCTCTCTCTTTCTTTCTTTCTTTCTTTCATCAAATGATTTCAAGAAGAAAGTATTGCTTCAAAGGTCTACAAAAGATTTCTAAGGGGTAGCAGAGAGTGAGGAGAACAATTTGAGTTGGGGGTTGGGTTAAAAACAAAAAACCAAAAACCAGAAATATTGTAGGAAGCAAGCCCTTATCCTTAGGAAGAAATAACAGACAGGAGAGGGGGGGAAAGCAAGCGGGAGATGCACAAAATAGATTGGATGGTTGTCGTTCTTTCTGAAAAGGCATTCACACCGTAACACAATCAAAATGGAACACAACCCCCCCCCCCGGTCTGTATGGAGTTGGTTAAGGAACAGCACGGCTGTAAGTGAAAAGCAGGCCGATGGTGAGTGGCCACTGAAATGCACCAGATTGTTGGGTCTTGAAAAGTAATCATGATCATGCATTAAAACGGAAGGGGACCGTCCTGTTGTTGGGTCTTGGTTTGACCAACCTGTCTGATGTTGGAAAGGACAAATCTCCTTCTAAACCAAGACTGCTCCAGCTACTGCTGTTACCATTACTGCCAGGAGAGAAGAGAAGAGGGCTGAACTACAAAAAAATAGATAGTTAGTTCCACCAGAACTTCCCACAGTCCATTGGGTTGCTTCAGATGGACGATGGAGGGGCTCCATCGCTTTTGAGGAGCGTCCAAGAACAACAAGCAAGGATGACCATCAGGAGAAGAAAAAGCCAGCCCACAAGTTATTTTTTCTCCCACTCCCATATCGGTGGGCGGAGGGATCTGTCTCAAGGATCCAGTTGAGGACCTTCAACTTAGAGGGCAAGGCACCAGAGAAGGTGGAGATGGTAGATCATGCGTGAAAGTCAGGAAATAAGACGGTGGCAAAATCTGGCATGGATGCTTGTCATGAAAAAAAAATAAAAGTCTAGCAACTGAGTCACCAGACCTATTTATGCTCTTTATTTTTCTAAGATTGCTTCTAGATCTCTCTTTTGGGTCTAGAAGCATTTTAGGGGAAATAAAATAAAATAGCAATAGCACTGAGACTTCACAGTGCTTTTCAGCCCTCTCTAAGCGGTTTACAGAGTCAGCCTCTTGCCCCCCTAACAATCTGGGTCCTCATTTTACCCACCTCGGAAGGATGGATGGCTGAGTCAACCTTGAGCGGGTCAGGATTGAACTCCTGGCAGTGGGCAGAGCTAGCAATAGCAATAGCATTTAGACTTATATACCACTTCCCAGTGCTTTACAGCCCTCTCTAAGCAGTTTACAGAGTCAGCCTGTAGCCCCCAACAATCTGGGTCCTCATTTTACTGACTTGGGAAGGCTGAGTCAACCTGGAGCTGGTCAGGATCGAACTCCTGGCAGTGGGAATGTTTTTATAGCAATAGCATTAGCACTTAAGACTTATATACCGCTTCCCAGTGCTTTACAGACCTCTTTAAGTGGCTTACAGAGTCAGCTTTTGGCCCCCAACAATCTGGGTCCTCATTTTACCGACATCGGAAGGATGGAAGGCTGAGTCAACCTTGAGCCAGTCAGGATCGAACTCCTGGCAGTGGGAATATTTTTTATAGCAATAGCATTAGCACTTAGACTTATATATCACTTCACAGTGCTTCACAGCTTTCTCTAAGCGGTTTACAGAGTCAGCCTATCGCCCCCAACAATCTGGGTCCTCATTTTACCGACCTCGGAAGGCTGAATCAACCCTGAGCTCCATCAGGATCAAACTCCAGACTGTGGGCAGAGTCGTAGACTGCTAACCACCGCGCCACCACGTATTTTCGGTAACAAATGCCTTATCTCACAGTTCAATCATTCGACATTTAGAAAGCACCAGTTTCTCAAGCTAAATTCTGTTAAAGTCAACCACGGACCTTCACAGTCTAAGAAGGATAGTCCAGCCATGTCATCCAACACTGTACATTAGACATTCGTTCTGGAGAAGTTCCGCCTGGGTGGTCCCTAAGAGTTGATACTGATCGATGGGACATCATCAGTCGCCGTTAGAAATAAATTTTAGTTACCTATCGCTGAGGTGGAGAAAACTGCTGCTCTCATCTGGATGTTCCTCATCAAAACTCAGGTTGGACCAGCTGCCGGTGCTGTCATCTCCAGTATGCTGGCTGACCACGGATTCAGCAGAATTCACTCCCTCTGTTTCCATGGCGCTAAGACACGTTAAAAGGGGTAGCATCACTATTTGTCCTTGCATCCCAGATACCTGACCTTCCTTCACTGTTGACCACCCATGGAACCTACTCCAGAGGTGTCTTCAAATTTCAACGGCTGTTTCAGAAAGATGGAACAAGCTTCGTGACATCAGTTCCACCCCTTATAGATTTGTGTGTATAGACTTGAGCACTAAATCTTCTGAACTGCAACCTAACATATGGTCCTGATTCCTGACATTAATCTAGTCCAGGGGTCTTCCAACTTGGCCCTTTTATGACTTGTGGACTTCAACTCCCAGAATTCCTCAGCCAGCGTGCCTGGCTGAGGAATTCTGGGAGTTGAAGTCCACAAGTCATAAAAGGGCCAAGTTGGAAGACCCCTGATCTAGTCAACTGAAGTTCAATACTAAACTGGCACCAGTTAAGGGTCAATGGAATTCGAGAAGGATTGGACTTAGGCCATTTGTGGGAACATAACGACTCTAGGCTGGTGACTCGTTTAACTCCCCACCCCCCGCTCTCCTTCTCTTCTCCTAATCTAGTCAACTCAAGTTCAATGCTAAATTGGTGCTAGATAAGGGTCAACAGAATTCAAGAGGAGTTGGACTTAACATGGTTTGTGGGAACATAACGACTCTAGGCTGGTGACTCGATTAACTCCCCCACCCCAAGTTCAATATTAAATTGGTGCTAGATAAGGGTCAACAGAATTCAAGAGGAGTTGGAGTTAGACTGTTTATAGGAACGTAACAATTCTAGGCTAAGGACTCATTCAACTCCGCCCTCCCCCCAACTCCGCCTCCTACACTATATATTCCATGCCAAAAAATCAACATTACCTTATATTGATGGCGGGAGCAATATTTGTCATGCAAGAAGTCATAATTTCTGTGGTTAGACTTTCGGCAAAGCTGATTCCATCTTGACTGATTCCGCTATCGGCTGTCAAACTAGTGTTGCTCAGCTGCCTCCTTGCTCGGTCCAAAGTGACAGGGGCCAGGTTTTCAGCAAATATGACCTTCTCGTCCAGATTGACGTGAATTTGGGGAATGTCCAAATGAAGCACGTGAGACTTAGGCAAGGTGATGTTTACACTCCCGTCTGAAGCGTATCGAACGTTAGAAGGAAGTTCTTGTCCAGCTAGCTGCAGAGACGAACCTCCCGTGCAGGAGTGGCGTTCTTTCAGACTGCAGTGTTTGCAGGCAGCTATAGAAAATGGAGTCATTTTTTTGTCCCAGGTTAATCTCTCTCCTTTTGTCCAGCCTTCGGGAGCTTGCCGAGTAGCTGATTCTAAACTCACTTCTAAAGTGTCGTCTACTATCTTCTTTGCGTATTGATCTAGGGCTTGCAAAACATTCTCTTGATAGGTAGAGTCCCTCAAACTCTCAGTGCTGTGATACAGTTTCTGCCTGCAACGTGAAGAAGGCAGTCTTTGAGTCCACGTTGCTTTGAAATCTGTCACTTTATCGTCTCGGGATGGTTGGTACAAACAAGAATCCGTCAAAGATTTGGGTAAACTCGTCGTGGACGTGAATGTCCTTCTGGCATCCGATGTGATCCGACAAGCGAGAGATTCCGAAAAATCCAGCAACTTTGAACTTTCAGCTCCATGTAAGGGACACCGGCTCCTACAAGGCTGCTTGGCAAGATGAAGCATCATACTGTTCTTCTGATTCTTTAGATCTACATCCTGGTTTGCTGCCTCAACTTCAAGCTTACCGTTTAGCCTGAAGCTCTTTTCGGGAGTGACCTTTCTACTGTACTTCACTCGGAGTTTCCTGGCGGCTTGCTGTATTCCAGATCGCACCGATTTGTAAGCGAGCCTGCTTGCAAAATTGTCCATGATGAGGTCACCGTGTCCCCCTTCCTGTTTCAAAATCCGAATGATGTGATCAGTGTATTCATCCGTCACACTTTCGCAGCTCGGATACTTGGAGTTAAGACCCAAAGCTTCCGAATTCAGGGGTACAGGAAGAACAGAACCATCCGGTTCTCTACCACGTGACTTTTGTCTTCTGTCCTTCGACCAACATTCGTGATAACTTCTTTTCAGATGAAAGCAATCGCCCTCGTAATTAACTTGACTGAGCCTCAGAAGTTTACACTGCCTTGAGTTGACCCTTTTCTTGGCTTCTCGGAGGACTCTTCCAGCCATTTCACCAGCGTAAATCCACAAAGAGTGCGTGTTTTTTTCTGGAAGGTTAACAAGCGTGGAATACCCCCGTCTTTTGTCTTCCGTGCTCACTTGAAAGTATCCATTCTTCAGAGTAGCTTTATCTTGCAAACGTGAAGAGGCCTGTTCGGTTGCCATAGAGATGATACAAGTTGCCAGATGATCAGCATAATCTATTGTCGGTCCCGATGGTTGAATTTGCTCTATCAGTGTGGCAGATTCTTCTTCAACTTCCTTGTTTTCCACTTCTTCAGAAAGAGACCGCATTAATTTCAGCATAAACTCTTCCTTTTCTAAGTGTTCACATTCCGGAGTGTATATTCCATCTGTTTCTGGTACGTAAGGAGTCGAAGGGGGTGTAGCAGGTGCAAACTCCTTCGCTAATTCCCCTTTCAGCTTTTTTGTTAACGTCCTTAAACTCCACTCCGAGCTTGCCTGAGAAGGTACTAAAGGCGTAGATGGCGGTGTTTCTGTCACCACGAGAAGGTTTCTCTCTCCGACACTCAATTTATCTTCCAGCTGAAGTGCATCTTCACACTTAGGCACCACAGAACAGTTATTTATTTCTGAAAAAGACACTTCGCGACCAAATGCAGAACCTCCTGTGGCTTTAGACACGCTCCGTTTTTCAAGTAAAGTACTGATCGGTATCGCTGAACTGTCTTCCACATCTGGCACCTGCTCATCAGATTTGGCAAATGACGCGACAGGAGAGGGTGTACTTGGGGATGGTTTGCAAGCCGCCCGTTTCCTTTTTTCCTGAACACCGTCTTTACACCCCAACAGCAGACACCGATTCGAAGAAGCAGTAGAGATATGAAATTTCGATATGTTGTTTAAAGGCATCTGCTGCTGACCCACGATAACCGGGATATTCTTCGTGTTGTCTCCTTGTTTCGCTACGCTCTGCGATTCCTTCTTACGGCTTCTTGCATTGGTTCCCAGCCCAACGCAGTAGGCTAATTTTTCGCCGGTAGCCGAACATGCCGATTTCGTCTCGTCGACAGACTGTTTTATGATCCGTTTGGTCAAATAGTTAGCAAACATATTCTTGCAGGAGTCTTTCCCAATGCACTGCAAATAGGGAGCATTCTTCATTTGCAGCACGCCGGTGTACTGCTCTGTTGATTTAGAAACCCTGGAAGAAGTGACGGCTTCGTAGGCTTCTGACACGATCATATCGACCATCGTTCCTGAAAAGTTATTGATGCTCGATATTTCAGCAAGTTTGTTGGCCTCAGGCTGGTCGGGTGGCTTGCATTCGTTCTCCGGTGTGAAACCAGTGGTCAGGTAGACATTTCTAAGTGAGGATACTTCACTTTGATTCTTTCGGGTGACACAACACGTTTCTGTGGGCCCTTTGTAGAAGGAGAGCATGTTCCCGGACGCCGATTGATTCTTGGCTTTGGCTTCGTTCCATAAAATCTGGTGCTGAGAAAGGATGCTTCCGGCTAAGGGCACCGGAATTGAACTTGCAATGCCAGATGTGTAGAACAAGGCTCTACTAATAGTGTGTTCCTTCCTGAATTCCCAAGCAGGGTTCAAGGCCACCGGCACTTTCTCACAAAGCTCAGAAGATCCATTGGATGTCGGGGTTAACTCTACCACTCTTTCTGTGCTGACATATTGTACGTTGTCCACGGAAACGCTGATTGCAGCTTGCGGTGTAAAGCTCACATCGACCTGTGATAACTCGATAAAAGCATCCTGGATGACGGATTCAGACAAGTCTTTGGCATAGGACCATACGACGGTATTGTCATACTGGAAGGAGCCCTGATGAGATGCCGTGGGCGTCGCTGGATGTGAAAACTGACAAACTTCCATTATCCCCTCAAATATCAGCTCCTCGGCCAGGTTCGCTGCAAATTTGGTAACGGTGTTCGTAAACATTTGTTGCTTTACGGAGTATAGTTCTTTCAAAGCTCCTGTGACGGCTTGGCTCACCAAAAACCCCGCTAAGCCATTTAGGGCTTTCTTTTTCAGTAAAAGAGCCTGCTGCCTCCCAATCTCGTAGAAGGCCATCTGGAAGACCGAAGAAGTCAACTTAGCAGCCAAGTGACACAATGCGTTGGTACATGAAGAAACGCCCTTCTGAAGGTCTTTAAACGCACTTCCGAAACTCGTTTCCACCAGCTCTGAAGCAAATTTCTGGATGTGGTCTTTAATCACCCCAGACTTGTGTTTGGATTTATCTTTCTTATGAAGTCCTTTTCTAGATATTTCTCTTTGAGTTTTGGCCGTTCGGTCTTTCTCTTCTTCCGAGACAATCCTACCCTGGCTGATCATCTCCTGTGTGCATCTACACAAGGAGGGTGGTCTAGCATTACACACAGAACCCAGAATTTCAAAGGAAATATTATTTGCAAAATCCGAGTAGGTGTGATAGACAAGGTTGTGGTTTTGGCTAAAGGAATCGCGATTGATTCGACAAAGGCACTCTGTGGGAAAGCAAGTGCCTAACGGACTGAAAGCAGAAGATCTGATTGGGCTGAACAAGGCCGTGTGGTCGTCAGCTGGATTTTTGATCAGGCGGGGAGAATCTGGGACATCCAGCAGATTGTGGTATTCCGGTTTGCGTGGAGTTGGCTTCCTTACGTTGGCTGGGAGAACGGGACGATCACACTTGAACTTTTGGGGATTCATTGACGTTGTGGAGCAGGGCTTCTTACACGAAACAATGCTTTTCTGTGAGGTATGACTTGCGGCGGTGGGATCTCGAGAACCTTTAGGACCGTCTTCCAAAGTTTGTTCACGTTCATCAAACTGGTCAAAACTATCAAAAAACTCGCTGACTTCAGAGTCAGAATCTTCTACCCCGTCTTTCCCTACTGGGATTTTGGGGAGTTGAAGCTTTGCCTTCAAACTTTTTTGATACCCTTCTTCATCCAAGAAGATGACAGGGCTTGGACTAGAGCAGTCTGACTCGGACGAGTCGGCAGGGGAGGAGGAGAACAAGGTTTTGTGCAAAAAATTAACACTGCGATCCGAAGAACCATGGGACCTGAAAAAACTTCTCTGTATCCAAGGATCAGAAAGAGAAGCGGAGACCGGATTTCTTACGGAAGATGACAGTTCTTCAAGTTCTAAGATGTTCACCAAGGAGATGGAGGACTTGACCGATGGCCTCCGATACAGAGAACTGATGAAGGACTTCTGATCATTAGATTTGAGATGATGGGCAAAGCTGGTCTTTGGAGAAGACTCTGGACTCTTCTCAGATTCTATTCCAAAAAAAGGGGGGAGAGAAGAAAGAAAATAAAGAGAAGGCATTTTTGTAATCTATCTTGGAGAAGATCTATCTGGGTGGCTATTAAGACCTGACACCAGTTTAATGGCACATGAATCAAAATCAGACAACTAGCAGAAATAAGAAACAATGGCCAAAAAAAATGGATTTATCGTAGGAAACTCCCCTGCGCCATGGTGGCACAGTGGTTAGAATGCAGTATTGCAGGCTAATTCGGGTGGCCGGTGGCTTCTGGCAGTTCGATCCTGACCGGTTCAAGGTTAACTCAGCCTTCCATCCTTCCAAGGTCAGTACAATGAGGACTCAGATTGTTGGGGGCAATGTGCTGACTCTGTAAACCGCTTAGAGAGCGGCTGTAAAGCACTGTGAAGCGGTATATAAGTCTAAGTGCTAGTGCGATCTTTCCTTCCTTCCTTCCTTCCTTCCTCCCTCCCTCCTTCCCGCCCTTCTTCCCTCCCTTCATTCCTTCCTTGATGGCACAGTGGTTATAATGCTGCATTGCAGGCTGACTCTGCCCACTTCCAGGAGTTCGATCCTGACTGGCTCAAGGTTGACTCAGCTTCCATCCTTCCACGTTCGGTAAAACAAAGACCCAGATTGTTGGGGGCAAAAGGGTGACTCTATAAACCGCTTAGAGGGGGCTGTAAAGCACTGTGAAGTGGGATATAAGTCTAAGAGCTTATTGCCCTTTCCTTCCTTCCTTCCTTCCTTTCCTTCCTTCCTTCCTTCCTTCCTTCCTTCCTTCCTTCCTTCCTTTCTGTTAGAATGCAGTATTGCAGGCTGACTCTGCTCACTGCCAGGAGTTTGATCCTGACCAGCTCAAGGTTGACTCATCCTTCCATCCTTCCGAGGTCGGTAAAATGAGGACCCGGATTGTTGGGGGACAATAGATTCTCTGTAAACTGCTTAGAGAGGGCTGTAAAGCACTGAGAAGCGGGATATAAGTCTAAGTGTTACACTAAGCACTAAGCAGAAAACCAACCTGAAATTAAGGAGAAACTTCCTGATAGTGAGAACCATCCACCAGTGGAACAGCTTGCCTCCAGAAGTTGTGGATGCTGCATCACTGGAGCTTTTTTAAAAAGAGACTGGACAGCCAGTTGTCTGAAATGGTGTAGGGTCTCCTGCTTAAGCAGGGGGTTGGGCTAGATGACCTCCAAAGTCCCTTCCCCCTCTGCTGTTTTGTTCTTCTGTTAAAATTCTTCCAGATCACTTGAAAATATTTCTCATTATATTGAAATAAAAAACGGTGCAGCCAGCCGTAAAGGCAAAAGCATTTATGCTGCTAAGCTATTGGCACGCTCTGCAATTTTTATTTTTATTTTTAAAAATGTATGTTTTCAATACCTTTAGTGTGCATGTTTCAAAAAGTGGTCAATTCCTCTTCCTGAATTAAGAAATGCTGATTGTTTAAATCCTGTAATGTCTGCCAGGTTGACATAGTGACATTAATTTGCCCAAAGATATGTCTCTCTAGAGCACCTAATTTTGAATAACTCTCACTCTCTGAGATATTTAGAAAGACAATATCAGAGCTACGCTACCAAAAAAAGGAGCAGGTTTTATTTATTTCTCTGTTTGTCAGAACAAATTAAAATGGAAACAACAATGTATTTGATGTAATTACAAAGAGAATAATATCTGGTGAGCGCACATGGGCTGTTATGCTTGTCTACATGCTATAACTGTGAGTTTTGTGTGGGTATTAAGTCACAATATATGGCTTTTTAATGTTGAAATAGGGCAAAAACGACAATTAGGCTAGGAGCATTATTGCTAATTGTTTTGCTTTAAAAGCTCGAAGGGTCAATTATGTGCCACGTTCTACATAGTTATGACTTTTTTCTTTTTTCTTTTGGTGCTGTATAAGTACAAAATGACTTATATCTAATTACACTGTTTAGAGGCAAGTAGAACATTTCAAGTAAGGCGCGATTATTTTTATTGTAAAACATTATCATGCTTAGTAACTTCTGGCAGACACTTGTATACCACAATTCTAGTCTACTAGAACCAATTCTTTCTATTAACACAAGGATGGACACAGCAACTCTGAAATACAAAAATATATTAGTAGCTCAGGGTTGAACTGTGGGGGTCCTTGGTGCTCTCTGAGCTTGGTTGTTTTCTTGCAGACATTTCATGACCCATCTAAAAAACTAAGCCTATTTATGCTAATATTATCACCTACCACCGATGATGTTACCTAGTTGAGTAATGAAATGTCTACAAGCAAACAGCCAAGCTCAGAGAGCACCAAGGACACCACACCAAAATAGATCATGCAGATCACTGCATGAAAGTCAGGAAACAAGATGGCGACAAAATCTGGCACAGATGCTTGTCGTGAAAAAAACAAAAGTCTAGTCACCAGATCCACCTATGCTCTTTATTTTCTCAGGTGGCTTCTAGATCTGATCTCTCTTTGGGTCTAGAAGCATTTTAGGGGAAATAAAATAGCAATAGCACTTAGACTTATATACCGCTTCACAGTGCTTTACAGCTCTCTCTAAGTGGTTTACAGGGTCAACCTCTTGCCCCCAACCATCTGGGTCCTCATTTTACCGACCTTGAAAGGATGGAAGACTGAGTCAACCTTGAGCTGGTCAGGATCGAACTCCTGACACTGAGCAGAGTTTGCCTGCAATGCTGCATTCTAACCACTGCACCACCACAGCAGATAGATGATGGATGGATGCATGGATGGATGCATGGATGGATGGATGGTTAGATAGATAGTTAGATAGAGATAGACAGACAGATAGAGATATAGACAGACAGACAGATATAGATAGACAGACAGACAGACAGACAGAGATACAGACAGACAGACAGATAAACAGATCAATTTCTCAGAAGGCAGAGTCAATCTTGAGCTGGTTAGGATCGAACTCGTGACAGTAAGCAGAGTTTGCCTGCAATGCTGCATTCTAACCACTGCACCACCACGGCAGATAGATAGATAGATAGATAGATAGATAGACAGATAGACAGACAGACAGACAGACAGACAGACAGACAGACAGACAGACAGACAGACAGACAGACAGACAGATCTCTCAGAAAGCTAAGTCAACCTTGAGCTGGTCAGGATCGAACTCCTGACAATTAGCAGAGTTTTCCCTGCAATACTGCCTCCTAACCACTGCACCACCCATGGCTCTTATACAATATACAATGTACGGAAATATTTCTGCAAAATAAACTTTAATTAGACCATGCCATCATTAAACGTACATTGCATAAACCCAAAAACGCTGAAGAAGGCACAATACTCCGGGGGGGCGACTCACCAGTATGGACGGCCTTTGCCGGCTCCTCTTCCTCTAAGTGCTCTAAAGCCGTGACAAAGTCGTCTTCAATGGAGGACACGGATTGATTGGTGTCATCGTTCTCGGTGTGGACGGAGTCCGGCGCCGGTTTCGGCAAGGCGTGCCTTTCCTCCGTGCATCGGATGGCGGCTGTGTACTTACTCAGCAGAGCGACTACAGCGTCCGCTCTGAGTCTCGGAAACGAAGAAGACAATCTCATCACGCACAGGACTCGCGAAGCGCAATTCCGCTGGAAACAGAAGGAAAAAAAACCCACAGGTTGTTTATTGGATAGTCCTCGACTTACAAATACAATGGAGCCCCACATATAAGTGAGACATTGGTGAAGTGAATTTTGCCCCATTTTACGACCTTTCTCGCCATCTTTTGTCTTGTCTTTTGTTTGGTATTGTTACGCTTCAAAATAAATGTCTTTTAAATATAGGTAGCAGTAGAATTTAGAGGGTGTGTGTGTGTGTGTGTGTTAGTTTGCCAGTAAACGTTTCACCATCACCATCTTTGGGAGATACAGCAATTCCACAAGGGATAAATAAAATCAAACATTTTTATTTTTTTAGTGACAGAAATTACGGACTCAGTTGTAAGTCAAGGACTATCTGTATATCATAAATGGGCTGATTAATCTGATTGAATTAAATTAATCTGATTAAACTGATCAAAGAGAGAGGCAACCTAGAACTAAGGAGACATTTCCTGACAGTTGGAACAATTAACCAGTGGAACTACCTGCCTCCAGAAGCGGTGAATGCTCCAATACTGGAGGTTTTTAAGAAGAGACTGGACAGCCATTTGTCTGAAATGGTACAGGGTTTCCTGCCTGAGCAGGGGGTTGGACTAGATAACCTCCAAGGTCCCTTCCAGCTCCTATTCTATTCTACTCTACTCTGCTCTGCTCTGCCCTGCCCTGCTCTGCCCTGCCCTGCCCTGCCCTGCCCTGCCCTGCCCTGCCCTGCCCTGCCCTGCCCTGCCCTGCCCTGTTCTGTTCTGTTCTATTCTATTCTACCTCCAAGGTCCCTTCCAACTTTATTATTATTATTGTTATTTTTGTTGTTGTTGTTGTTGTTGTTGTTATTATTATTACTGGTTCAGATTCTTTTCATCCAGAGCACTGAGTCACCTTAACAGATCTTTGAAAAGCAGACAAACAACCTCATGTTCGATTCTCTTACCTTTTGTCGGAAGTCGTGACTCGTCTCTGCCGGTTTGCACACATCCTTTAGCAGAAGAGCTTCCTGGTCGTGCAAACTGCACCACTGGGCTGATGTCAGAACATCTGGAAGGCCTACAGAGACGGTTGCCAATTCCTAAACCCAGCAGAGCACAATTGAGAACAATGCAACTTGAGTAGGGAAATTATCAGCAGATTCCGCCGGCGAGTTTTTCAACCAAACATAACAAAACTTACAACAGATGATTTAGTGACCGTTCACAGTTATCACGGCACTGAAACAGAGGACTGATGACCGTTTTTCACACAACGGTTGCAACCTCCCCCACGGTCACGTGATCAGAATTCAGAGGCTCGGCAACTGGCATGTACTTATGACAGTTTCGGTGTCCCGGGGTCACATCAGACCTTCTGACAGGCAAAGCCAATGGGGGAAGCCGGAATCGCTTAAGAACCGCGTTACTGACTTAACAACTGCAGGGATTCATTTAACAACGGTGGCAGGAAAAGTCGTAAAACGGGGCGAAACTCACTTGGCGAATGCCTCGCTTAGCAACAGAAATGTCAGTGGGAAATCCAGATTCACTTAACAACCGTGTTACGAACTTAACAACTGCAGGGATTCGCTAAACAACTGTAGCAAGAAAGGTCGAAAAATGGGGCAAAAAGCTCACTTAAAACCTGTCTCACTTAGCAACAGAAATTTTGGGCTCCGTTGCGGTGGTTAAGTCGAGGACTACCTGTATTGTGACACCTGGCCTCTTCTGCTATTCAAGTACCTTCATGAGTATCTTTTAATTTCTCTTAATAACAAAAAGGGATGGTCAGGGCCCCGGTCCCCAAAAACAACCCACCCAGAAATATTGAATTGATGCAGCCTTCCTTCTGAAAGGACCTACCTTGGGTGCCACAGCTGAGTCGTTGGCAAAACAGAGAAACGTGACCTGGAACAGAAATACACAAATAAAGAGAGGTCACGTACATTGTGGAAAGAAATATATACAGGTTTGAAGTGTGTTATAACTTTGATTTGGGGCTTTACTGATTAGATTGATTCATTGTTATAGAAGCGACTGGTTTATACTATGACATGAAAGTAAAAAGTTGAGGTTTGATGCTATCGATTTATTCTACTGCAACAGAGGAAGTCGTAAATCAATGCCTTTTCTTTCCTTTCCTTTTTTCTATCTTCCTTTCCTTTCCTTTCCTTTTTTCTATCTCCCTTTCCTTTCCTTTTTTCTATCTTTCTTTCCTTTCCTTTTTTCTATCTTCTTTTCCTTTCCTTTTTTCTATCTTCCTTTCCTTTCCTTTTTTCTATCTTCCTTTCCTTTCCTTTTTCTATCTCCCTTTCCTTTCCTTTTTTCTATCTTCCTTTCCTTTCCTTTCTTCTATCTTCCTTTCCTTTCCTTTTTTCTATCTCCCTTTCCTTTTCTTTTTTCTATCTCCCTTTCCTTTTCTTTTTTCTATCTTCCTTTCCTTTCCTTTTTTCTATCTTCCTTTCCTTTCCTTTTTTCTATCTTCCTTTCCTTTCCTTTTTTCTATCTCCCTTTCTTCCTTTTTTCTATCTCCCTTTCTTCCTTTTTTCTATCTTCCTTTCCTTTCTTTTTTCTATCTCCCTTTCCTTTCTTTTTTCTATCTCCCTTTCCTTTCCGTTTTTCTATCTTCCTTTCCTTTTTTCTATCTTCCTTTCCTTTCCTTTTTTCTATCTCCCTTTCTTCCTTTTTTCTATCTTCCTTTCCTTTCCTTTTTTCTATCTCCTTTTCCTTTCCTTTTTTCTATCTCCCTTTCTTCCTTTTTTCTATCTCCCTTTCCTTTCCTTTTTTCTATCTCCTTTTCCTTTCCTTTTTTCTATCTTTCTTTCCTTTCCTTTTTTCTATCTTCCTTTCCTTTCCTTTCCTTTTTTCTATCTTCCTTTCCTTTCCTTTCCTTTTTTCTATCTTCCTTTCCTTTCCTTTCCTTTCTTCTATCTCCCTTTCCTTTCCTTTTTTCTATCTTCCTTTCCTTCCCTTTCCTTCCCTTTCCCCCTCTCCTCCTCACTTTCCTTTCCCCTTTCCCTCCCCACCGTGTCCTGTCTGCTTTTGCATTTTGTTATTTTATCCCATCATCTAATAACATGTTCTAAAAATAAATAAAAATAATAAAAGATAGAAGATGGCGAACGTGACGGAGGGAAGGGTCTCTCTCTCCTCCTGGCTGAAGGACAGAGTGAAGGGCGTATTTAATATTGTTATCAATTTAAACACACACACACACACACAAGGATGCAAAACGGCCTAACCTCGTTGAAATTTTCGTCCTCTTTGGCCGACTCTTCTGCGGAGACGGCGCACAGCGGTTTTTGACTTTGCAGAAACGGCGTCATTGGAGAGAAGGAAGGTTCACCCAAATTCTGTTTGAGAGAGAGAGAGAGAGAGAGAGAGAGAGAGAAAGAAAGAGAGAGAGAGAGAGAGAGAGAGAGAGAGAGAGAGAGAGAGAGAGAGAGAGAGAGAGAGAGAGAGAGAGAGAAATAAATAAGGGGATTGGTAAACGCGACGGCTTTTTGCAACCGTTTCTGACGAGCAACGTCCACGGGGAAACCATTCCACTTCACAAAGACGTCAGTCACTGAACAGCTACAGGGATTCACATTGCAAGGGTGGCAAAAAAAAAGGCCATGAAATGAGGCAAAACAACGGTCTTTCTTAACAACCAAAATTTTGTGCTCAGTTGCGGTGCCAAGCTACACTTTATCTGTAGCTATTCTCTGCAGGGTTTTGGGGTTTTTCTCTTTTCCTTTTTATTCAGGATTCCGCAGAAACTCTTATTTTATCCTGAGGTCTTAAGGTTTTGATTTTCCTGTGGTTCAAACTAAGTGTAAGAATTTGGGGAGTGGGGGGGGATCATCTTTTTTGAAGGCTCCCCGAAAGCTAGGAGACTGGGGGTTTGCTGAGGAGAAGAATCTCAAGAGGGATGTCCCACAGATTCGGTCTGAAGGGTTTATTGAGTTAAAATTTATTACAATTGCTCGTTCCAGCAAATGCTGGATGAAGGTATCAAAGGGGATTTGAGACAAGGACTTGTTTTCCTCTAGGAAAAGGAGAAAAAACTATTCATATTCAGAAAAAAAGAAATTCAAGTGTTGTTGAGGTTGTCAAGTTTTTAAGAAGAGACTGGACAGCCATTTGTCTGAAATGGTATAGGGTCTCCTGCCTGAGCAGGGGGTTGGACCTGATGACCTCCAAGGTCCCTTCCAACTATTATTATTATTATTATTATTATTATTATTGTTGTTGTTGTTGTTGTTGTTGTTGTTGTTATTATTATTATTATTATTATTATTATTATTATATCTCATTGGTTCCGACTGGACTTGGTCAACCTGTTGATTCCATCTTTAAAAATTCTTTTTCAAGGCTGACCTACTGACTGTGGGACTTACTGAACTTGACCCAGCAGCCTCCTTGCTAAATTGCCTGAAACATAATTTCCTTAACCAAGTAAAGAAAAAAAAAAAGAAAAGCTTTCTCGTAAACCATCAAAGAGAGAAGCTCGGCCAAATCAATAGGATCAAGAACTGGGTTTTTTTACCTTTTTCACTGCTCCTCTAGGATTCTTCTGACAGCTTTGGACCCTGGTAGGACCGTCCATGCTTTAATTTTTATTTTCACCGACGAATTCAATAATCTCTAAAATACAAAAATGGATTACGCTTTTTAATTAATCTACCGCTGGCTACACTGTGCAATATCAAGTTGATAAAAGGAGGAGGAGGAGGAGAATGAGAGGGAAGAGGAGAGGGAGAAGGAGGAGGACAAGCAGGAAAAGGAGGAGGAGGAGGAGGAGGAGGAGGAGGAGGAGGAGGAGGAGNAGAAGAAGAAGAAGAAGAAGAAGAAGAAGAAGAAGAAGAAGAAGAAGAAGAAGAAGAAGAAGAAGAAGAAGAAGAAGAAGAAGAGGAGGAGGAGGAGGAGGAGGAGAAGCAGGAAAAGGAGGAGAGGGAGGAGGAGGAGAGGGAGAAGAAAGAAAAGGAGGAGGAGGAGGACGAGGAGGAGAAGCAGGAAAAGGAGGAAGATAAGGAGGAGGAGGAAAAGGAGGAGGAGAAGGAGAGGAAAAAGGAGGAGTAGAAGAGAAGGAGGACAAGCAGGAAAAGGAGGAGGAGAAGCAGGAAAAGAAGGAGGAAGAGAAGGAGGAGGAGAGAGAGAAGGAGAGGGAGAAGGAGGAGGAGGAGGAGAAGCAGGAAAAGGAGGAGGAGAAGCAAGAGAAGCAAGAAAAGGAGGAGGAGGAGGAGGAGGAGGAAAAGGAGGAAAAGGAGGAGAGGGAGAAGAAGAGGGAGGAGGAGGAGGAGAAGGAGAAGCAGGAAAAGGAGGAGAAGGAGAAGCAAGAGAAGAAAGAGAAGGAGGAAAAGGAGGAGGGGGGAGGAGGAGGAGGAGGAGAAGCAGGAAGAGGAGGAGGAGGAGGAGGAGGAGGAGGAGGAGGAGGAGGAGGAGGAGAACACAAGTTAACACAAGTTAAGGGTTGGGACCGGGAAGCACTCCAAAATGCCACCCGCCCTGTGATTCTGGCTTTATTACGGGCCTAAGAGTTTTAATTCAGCTCAAGACAACATCTCTTCGGTTGTCCCAGCCCCCCTCCTTACCCCACCCCATCCTCTCCATCACGCGCTCCTATGACCACCGATGGTGCCTACCCAAACGCAAAAGCCCCGCGTCCTTCAGCCCCCAAGGCTCTCTTCTTGAAGGTCCATGCTGGGAGAAGTGCCCCCAGGTCTCCTCTGCTTCAGATGGCTGGCGAGGGCCTTCACCCGTGTCCTTCTAGGTCGCCCCTGGTCTTCTACAGGCCGCCATCTTGAGAGAAGAAACAACTTCATGGGATGCTTGGAGAGACAGAACCAGAAGCCCAAGAAAATGGGACTTTACCAGGCCCAGCATCTTTTTTTTAATCAGGGGATACTTTCCACCTCTTTCATCTTCCATCAAAGAGACGGAACGTATTATACCTACTTATAGTAAACTTGGTAGAGAGAGCTCTCCACTTATGACCCCCCCAAATTTCGGTTGCCGCATCGCCAGGGTTGCACGATCCAAATTCCGACGCTGGGCAACTGACCCACATTTATGACGGTCGCAGCGTCCCGGGGGCGTCACGTTGATCCCCTTTTGCAACCTTCTGATAAGCGAAGTCAATGAGGAACCGAGTCACTAACTTAACAACTGCAGTGATTCATTTAACAACTGTGGCAAGAAAGGTTGTAAAATGGGGCAAAACTCACTTAACAAAGGTCTCGCTTAGGGACGAAATTGTGGGTTTCAATCCTGGTCGTAAGTCGGGGACCATTGTAATGTGTGCAGCAAAGTCTAGTGCCAGGTAACAATGAACGAATTTGCTAGGACACGCCGAAAGAAATCCGTTGAATTATCTTAAATTGTTCTTTTTTCCTTGTCATCTGATATACAACGCTTCCCGCCAATTCTAATGGCTTTCCATTCTCCTTAGTTGAATCACATACAGGTAGCCCTTGACTTATGACCAAAATTTCCGTGGCTAAGCGAGACGTTGGTTAAGTGAATGTTGCCCCGTTTTATGACTTCCCACGGTTGTTAAGTCAATCCCTGCAGTCCTTAAGTCAGTAACCCGGTCATTAAGCGAATCCGGCTTCCCTTCCCCCCCCCTTTGACTTTGCTTGTCAGATGGTTGCAAAAGGGGATCACATGACCCCAGGACTCTGTCGTAAGTACATGCCAGTTGCCAAGCCTCTGAATTTTGATCACGTGACCTCAGGGATGCTACAACGGCCGTAAGTGTGTAAAACGGTCATAAGTCACTTCGTTCAGTACCGTTGTAATTTTGAACGGCCACTAAATGAACAGTTGTAAGTTGAGGACCAGAAAGACAGGCCTGGTTGCCTACCACAACATTTCTGAAGTCTTTTGCCTCAGAAAGTTAGAACCAAGCAATTAAAAAGGAATATACTTTTCTCAACAACAAGCAATAAACAGAAATAAATCCTACTTAAGGCAGCATGTAATATAGTAAGGCTATTTATCGCTCAGGAAATAACTGAAATAATCCTTAAAGAGAGCCCCAAGGAAGGAAATTCTAGTTTTTAAAGCAGTATAATTTATAAAAAAAACACCTTTCCTTTGGCAACTGTATTGTCGACTGAAACCCAATTTTTACGTGGGAGAACACAGCCGCCCGTCTCAGATACAGCAATAACAGATAAACGAAAGAATTAAGATAATGATTTGGCTTTACAATTTGTTGGAAACACAAATCGCCACAATTGTGTTCCTCCTGCCGGTCGGTCGGGTGGGACATGGAGAATCCGACAGGAGTGACATAAATCTCCTGATAATGTAGGAAATGGTTGTTGCTGTTCTCGGGAAGAGATTTCAGCCAAATTCTCAGAAAACAATTTTGTGGCCTTAAAAGACCCACAGCCACGGCGAGGTCACATCCACAAGACTGTTGTTGTTCCTCCAGCGGAGCACACAACCGGTTGTAAATCAAAATACCGTCTATCTTCCATGCCGGAGGAATATAAACCCACTGGTTTTTAAAAACCCGTTTTTTTAAAAAGTTAAAATCAGTTTCCGAAATGTTATGTGGCTCCACGGTCTGTACGTAGGCAGCTAGTCCTCCACGTACGACATTAAATTGAGCCCAAACTTTCTGTTGTGAAGCGAGACGTTCGTTCAGCGAATTCTGCCCCATTTTATGACCTTTTTTTGCCAGAGTCGTTAAGTGAATCGCTGCACTTGGGGACATTTAGTAACTGCACTTACACTGCAGTTAGTAACACCGTTTTTAACTGAAATCTGGCTTCTCCATTAACTGTACTTGTCAGAAGTTTGTTTGCGTGACCCCAGGGACACTGCGACCGTCATAAAGATGAGTCAGTAGTAGCCAAGCACCTAAATTTTGAGCACGTGACCAAGGGGATACTGCAAAGGTCGTAAGTGTGAAAAGCCGTCATAAGTTAGTTTTTTCAGTGCCGTTGTAACTTTGAACAGTCAGTAAACAACCTGTTTATGAGCCAAGGACGACCCGTATATATAAATCGTCCTTAGCTACAATCCAGTCCAGATTCTTAATCTGGATTACGTGATTGCTCCGGATTTTAAGGTCAATCTTTGCCAGCTCTAGTTTTTAGCTCAAAACTGACTTTTTGGGGACATTTCAGCTCTTCCGCTGAAGTGGGGTATACAAATACCAACTTTTTTGCTGAGCTGGCACTGAAAAAAGTTGATTTATAATTGTTTTTTATACTTACGACCGTTGCAGCATCGCCAGGTCAAGTGACTGAAAATCGGACGCTTGGCAGCCGACTCGCATTTATGACAGTCGCAGCGTCCCGGAGTCACGCGATTCCCCGGGATTCTGCAACGGTCATAAACACGAGTCAGTTGCCAGTTTTGATCGCGTGAGCAACGGTCATAAGTGTGAAACACAGTCCTAAGCTACCTTTTTCAGTGCCGTTCTCACTTGGAACGGTCCCTAAATGAATATCGTCGTAAGTCGAGGATTGTTGATGTTTTGGAAACATTTAAAGCGTTTTCACGGCTTTCCCAGACAATATTTATGTTTTTCTCTTCCAACATCATGATTTCCAGGGTTTTGTTACATTATAATAATAATAATAATGATAAAGTTCGAAGGGGCCTTGGAGGTCATCTAGTCCAACCCCCTGCTCAGGCAGGAAACCCTATACCATTTCAGACAAATGGCTGTCCAGTCTCTTGTTAAAAACATCCAGTGTTGGAGCATTCACCGCTTCTGGAGGTAGGTTGTTCCACTGGTTAATTGTTCTCACTGTCAGGAAGTTTCTCCTTAGTTCTAATTATTATTCTTTTAAGAAGTTGGCTGGTTAATTAGTTGGATGGTGACTGTAATAGGATTCTATAATCATACATAAATGCAGGGGGGGAAAATGTTGCCGAAACTCAAGTCACATTCCACTGAACAAAATTGAGAATTTTAGGAAAAACAGAGTGTTAAAATGCAGCCTTCCTACTCTGCAGTGATAATTATGAGTAGATGTTGCTCTTACTTAAATACTGTTTTAATCTTATGCAAAACAGGAGTATAATTACATGTGTTTAGCTCCTGCCGATCTATTGTAATAACTACTCCTGCTCTTCTTTTCTGTTTTCCTATCTTGCTCTCTGGGGAATTCTGGGAAATGAAGTCCACACATATCTAAAAGTTGCTGATGTAACTGAAGTTTTAAGATCAGTCTGGAGAAAACTATGCAATGAGTGTTCTTTTAAAAATTCCAAATAGCCTAATTAATAATTTAAAAAAATCTCCTTGTAATTGTTTTGCCCAATTGGTCAGAAAACACAACAGTTTTCTTCCATGTTTGGGGGAAAATTGTAGAACAAAGCTAATAGGAAAGGAAAAATCTCTTTCCAATTCATTTACATCACAAAATTCTTTTCCTGATGTGTTCTATTATACACCGTAGGCTACATGTAACCTTAAACTATATATTAATACTGTGTTTCAATACTAGGAAGCCAATAAAAATAGATATTTTTGGACAATAAGAGGCCAACAAACATTAAAAAGGATCAGAAAACCTCAAAGGAAGAGGAGTGATTAGATAGATAGATAGATAGATAGATAGATAGATAGATAGATAGATAGATAGATAGATAGATAGATAGATAGATAGATAGATAGA